AATCCTCAGCCTCTTCCACGACCGTAGAGCTGGTTCCTGACACCCAGCTCTGCCCACCTCCACCTCTGCAACTCTCATGTGTGGTACCTGCAGTATAACAGGTGCTCAAAAAATGTTTCATGGCCTTCCCTGGTGGCGCAGTGGTTGAGAGTCCGCCTGCCGATGCAGGGGACACGGGTTCGTGCCCCGGTCCGGGAGGATCCCACATGCTGCGGAGCGGCTGGGCCCGTGAGCCATGGCCGCTGAGCCTGAGCGTCCGGAGCCTCTGCTCCGCAATGGGAGAGGCCACAGCAGTGAGAGGCCCGTGTAGTGCAAAAACAAAAAAAAAGTTTCTTGAATAACTTCAGAACTCAGTGGTTGTCTGACATATTTAGAAAAGGAGTGGCTGCCCCTACTGCCAGCACCCCTGAAACCCCGCAGGAGACACAACCTAGTGTGGTCCCTTCTCTCGCCTGGGGGAGCGTCACACCAGCGGCCCTGTCTCCCTGCCTGTAACAAACACACCATAAGGAGGCTCGCTGGCCCCTGGGCCAGTGATGCTGTAAAAACCCGGCCTTGTCCTTGTGAGATTTGGTGTGAAGACAACGCAGAAACAGAACCAGCAAAGAAGGGATCCTGGTCAGGAGTAAATCCCTCTCCATAGTGACCCTGTGAGACCCAAGCACTCCCTCTGCTAAGCCTGCTCCGACTGTTTGGGAAGGGGCCCTTGTGACTGTCCGGGCAGCGGGTGGGAGGGATAACCCAGTCTCTCTTCTGCCTCCTGAGACCAAGGTGGGCATCGGGGAAACAGCCACACCTCCGACGGGGGTCCAGAGCGGGTGTCCCGAAAGGACAGGGCCTAGCCGTCCAGTGAGGCCAGGTCTTGTCCACACCGCACTGACCTGCTGGAGGGTCTTGGGTTTCCTGGCATGCAGCACTCCCACCGCCAACCCCAGCTTGCAGCGTCTCGGGAGCCCCTCGCTGGCAGCCCCCCCGGGGGAAGAAAGCCGCACAACCACGGAGAAGGAGGATAAGCACGCAGGACAGGTGAGACCAGCACTGAGTGGCCCATGTCCCCTGTGCTCCCCAGGGAGCACCCCAGCCCCGGGCCAGCCATGGCCTTTGTCCTCTTCGGCAGTGTCTTTGCAGTTAATAGTCCCAGACACCTTCCTCTGGAGGGGAAGACGCAGTGACCGCGGGAGGGGTGAGGGCGGGGTGTGCTTTAGCCCTAAACCCGGGAAGCTGCAGAACTTCCCTGAGCCCCGAATGCACCACATGGGTAAACCTGCAGCAAGCCAGGCCAAGATCTGGACAGATTCTCTCTGGAAACACTTTTCATGTCCAACAATAGAAGGTCTGTTAAACCCCCGTCCGACCCCGGGACGTGGGGCACGTTGTAACCATGGAAACTGAAGGGAAGGCGTTTGAGAGGCTTCTTCTTCGGTGTCTCCCCCAGTGGCCCCTGAAGGTACTGCACCCGGAGGAGAAGCGCTCGCTCTTGTCTCCTCACTTTGGGCCAGGCGGTGCCCACCCCTCACAGCCCCTGCTGCCCGCCTGCTTCTGAGTTGCATGGAAACCTACCGGTCACGAGGCCAAAGCGGGCTCGTCTTGGTGAGCAAAAACAGAGGCCGGTGACAAGGTAAGATGGGGGCTCAAAAGATTTCGTAGAAGAAAAACGTGCACGAGTGTTCCTGTGTGTGTGCACACGTGTCTGTGTGTGGTGACCAGATGCTGTATTAATTGGTGTTGCCTATACAATTATGAGTGGCTTTTATTTTCTGTATTTTCTAAATTTCTTTTTTTTCTAAACACCTGCATATTACGAGAAAAAGAAAAAAACAACAAAGCTGTTGCCATCAAGCACAAGAGCTTGCAAAATAAGATCTTAAAGTACATATTTCAGAATGTTACAGGAGTTTTCTCTGGGTGATAGATGAACGGCCTCCTACTTTTGAAAACAAACTTAAGAAAACCTCTTTGGTAAGTTTTCAGGGACCTGAGCTTTGAGGACAGCATCTGTGGGTGACACCCTCCCCATAGGCAGCTCTGCCTCAGGTACTGGCTGGGCTAGTGGCCGACCAGGCAGAGTCTGGTAGCCGAAGGCCAGTTTACCCTCTTGTGCTCCGCGCTCACCTGCTCAGCTAGGGTCCCGGTAGAGCAGCAGGCAGGTGGGGCTGGCACAGCCATGGGGCCACTGCGGTCAGAGCGGCACATGTGATGGAGGCTGCTGGTGTCCTGTGTGGCCATCCAGGGCACCCGCAGTGTCAGGTGGAGGCCCTGCAGGCGTCCCAAGCCGAGCCCAGCGCGTGTCAGGCGGTGCACATTCCTCCGAGCCCCCCTTCAGCACGCAGCTGCCCGTGGCGGGAGGGTGTATAAGCCGCCAGCCCCCTTGCTAGAGGTGAGCCGAGACTGGGTGAGAGGCCAGAGTGCCTGTTTGCGCCTGAACTGTGGGGTCGCACACCATCGCCGCCACCACACAGGTCATCCATCTTCTGTGCAGGCCGCGGATGATGGGGGCCAGGGACTCGGGGCGTCTTGGGGGCTGGCGGCCTCACCGGGAATGGAGTTTATTGCCAGAGGGGAGGGGAGGGGAGGGGGCAGGCCTTGAACTGCTCAGCCTTGCAGGGGATTCTAGGGCCACCTCTGGTGGGAGGTGCAGGTGAGAAGCCCCAGGAAGTTTCTGGGGCCCCTCCCCCACAGTATTTCAGTCGAAGCCCCTCTGCCGGCATCACCCCCAACTCCGTCCCTCCCGTGGCCGCTGCTGAGAGCCACAGAAGATGGAAAGTTTATGGTGCTTCTCTTCCCATAGGGAAACAAAGCCACAGACACACAGATTCCCTTAAAAAAGCATGAAAGAAAGGAGCCAATAATAGTGGATGTTTGTTATTGACATCCACATGGTTCACGTAGAAATGCTTCACAAGGCTGCACGGGGAGGGGACTAAGGGCCGTTGTTTGCAGTCATGGGGTCTGGGCTCCCCGCTTCGGCCTTCCTGAACCCATTGTGGTGGGAACAGGACTGGGCCAAGTTAGGGCTCCCTCAGGGGCAGGGAGGTTGTTCAGAGAGGAGAGGATGGGGCCTCCTTTCTGTACCAGAACTCAGTTCTGGGTCTAAGCACAGCGTGGCCTCCTGGAGCTGTCAGGACCCTCACCTACCCAGCGGGAGAGGCTTCGTGCCACCTCGTCCTCACGTGCAGCCTGTGCACCTGCGCTGCTGGCTGCACGGGAGCCCTGAGCTCCCGGGGCCTCGGGGCCATTAGCTGTGAGTCCACACTGTGAGGGCCTGCTGTGCTCACAGTGTGCCCCATTCTCCACCAGACTTCTCTTAGAAAAAGTGAGTTGAAGGATAAAATATTCAACAGTTAAGAATTTCAAGGTGGTGACACCGTTGCACTGAAGCACACAGGCCCAGGTACACGGCACGTGCGTTAGAGAAGCTGCAGTGTGGGCTTCGAGGACACTGTGTGCAGGGGGGCAGGAGAGGTTCCGAGACTCACGGGTGGTCCGGTTCCTGCAGGCGCGGCTCCAGACTCCGTTCTCAGCGGCTGTGGGCGAGGGCCGCCTTTCCCAGGTGACTGTGTGTAGAGGGGCTCTGGGGCTGCCCAGGCTCAGCGGGAAGGGCAGCGGTGGGAAGGGAGGTTGCCCGCACTTAGCATCCTGACCTCTCACCTCCTCCTTAGTCAGGGCAGCTAAGTCTGCAGGTGAAGCAGCTGTGTCTGACCAGTGCCTGAGTGGCCCCTTCTTTGTCCAGCTCTAAAGACCTGGAAGACGTGGGCAGGGAGAGAATAACAAAGGGCGGGGCTTGCCCTCTCAGCCAGCCTCTGTGCCAGATTCTGCCTGTGCTTATCCATCAAACCAAAAGGCTGGCGCTCCCATCCCATTTTATAGATTAGAAAAGAGGCACAGAGAGGTTGAGCACCTTGCCATAGGTCACACAGCTGGTGAGGGCAGAGCTGAGAATTGACCCACTACGGTTGGATCTGGAGTCCACATGCTGTGCTGGCCCTGAGGCGACAGCAAAGAGAGAGCGAGGGAGACCAGATACCCCAGATTGAGCCAGGCACACAGGCATGCACCCACACGTGCACGAGGCCTTCACCTTTGAGGCTACAGAAGTCAGAGGAAACCAGAGAGGAATGAGGAGAGGCCAAGGGAGAATGCCCTTCCAGGGGTTCAGTTCCTACGGAGACCGGGGCTGCGAGTATGCGTTCTCTGTGGCTCTCTTGGACCCCACTGCTTTCAGTGATAAGGGGGGAATGAGGTACACAGTCTGGGCTTCAGATTTGTATGGAGACAAAATTTATTAAAACAGGAGTCCAAAAAACCACGAAGGGGATTGGTATGAACATCTCCAGGGCAATTAAGAAACCCTCTGCTGTTTATCTACCTTCTCTCTTATCATGAAAGCAGAGGATCTACTTAACCAGTTATTTCTGTGCTCATCACACTCTTAGGGAATGTAAGGGGTCATAGACTTCCTTTGAAGCTCCCTCAGAGCCGAGGTATGTGGTGGCTACATTTATCCTCCCGTGGCTAAGATGTGGTTTATTGGTAATGACTCCCTCACCCTCCCCGC